GTCCAGTCCCGTGTTTGTTTCCTAGCTGGACTAGTTTTAATGGGATTAGCCGGGACTCGCTTTCACTAACAACCTAACTAGCCGTTCTTAGCGTGACCCCCCCCGAAAACCATTGGACTAGCTAAGAACTTCTTCGTCCTGCTCGACTCACCTCCCTGACCTCGATTTTGATGGCATAAGCTTGAGGCATGGCTTCATCTCTGATGACGAACTCGTCGACGTCTTCATCTCCGACGATGACCTCGTCGACTGGGTCATCTCCACCATCTTCTTCTCCTTCGCTGCTTCGCTATTGCCATGGTCGTGGGTTTGAAGCTACTGATTTTGGCTTTGCCTTCGGCTTGCCTCCTCATCGACTAGGTCAGTCTCCGCCATGACTGCTTCGCAATCTCAGTAATTTTTTTTGTTTTGGGTTTTTTTTTTTCTGGGATTTGCTGGTTTAATTGGTTATTGGAAGGCTTGCCTTTCTTTTTGGAATCTCTGAAGGCTTGGCAAATGGTTAACCAACAAATTCTCTTAATTAAACAAGAAAATTAAGAGATTAATGCATAATTTGATAGAGAGAAAATGATGGAGAAGAGAAATGAGGAAGGCTAAAGGAAGGAAGGGGAAAGAAAATTTGCTTAGGTCCATTCATTTCCAGACTTCACTGCCCTTTAATTATTAATTTTTGTTTAATTTTTAAGCCAAAAGTGAACTAAAAATGGCAAAAAAAAATATAGTATGTGACTTAGTCCGACACTGCACCAAACGCTTCATTAAGCTAGTCCAGCTTAGTCTAATCTAAACCAGTCCAGCTTAATCCCTGAAGCTAGTCCAGTCCGAGATAGTCCGGTGCAACAAACGCACCCTTAGGTTCTTATATTCTAGTTTATGATGCATAGGTTAATTGTAGAAGAGCAGCTGCTGCAGCTTTTCAAGAGAATGTTGGACGGCAGGGTAGTTACCCTCATGGAATTGGCACAGTGAATACTGCGGACTATTTTTCACTTTCTTCACGAGTAAACTCTTATGTTCATGTCGCTGTCTCTATTGCTCAATAGGAGGGTTATCTTTATCCATTTGTGGATGAGCTGCTGTATAACAAAATTTGTCACTGGGTAGGCTCCAACTTGAATTCTTTAAGGTTTTTTAATTCCCTACAGGCTACTTTTATCCATCAGTTTAGATCTTATGTTCTACACAATGTCATCAGCATAAAGGTTTGAGAGAACTTGCGGCTGAGGCTCTTTCTGCCCTTGTTAAATATCATCCTAACTACTCAAATAAATACATATAATGCGCTAATATGATTATAAGAATGAGTACTCAAAACACCAAAAGCTTATTGGGTGTTAAAACTGCATTGTTTTTCTATTTTTTGTGCATTTGGATTGTTTTCGACATTAACAAAAAAACAAACGAGCATACGTTTGACATCCATTGTAACTTAAGCAAATTAACACATATAATATGCTACTAGGACCATAAGAATGAATAGTCAAAAGATCAAAAGCTTATTGGGTGTCGAAGCTATACTATTTTTCTATTCAAAGTGCATTTGAATTGTTTTCAGCATTAATAAAAAAACAAACGAGCATGCGTTTGACATCGATTGGAACTTTAGCAAATAAACATATTTAATGCGCTACTGAGACTATAAAAATGGGTACTCAAAAGATCAAAAACTTACTGGATGTTGAAGTACATGATTCTTCTATTTTGAGTGCATTTTGCTTATTTTCGACATTAATAAAAACTAGGCCTGATCATCGAGGGCATTGTCATTGGGGTTCAAGAAATCAAACCACTTAGTCCCTTGATATGCTGTAATGCATTATTCATGAATTAAAAACTACAACTGAAATAATTGTTCTTTTTATTTTTTAACTTTTTAGGCCTTAAATAGTCATTTTATACAAGTCATTTAACATTAAATATTGAGTAGAGTGTATTCAACAATTTATGGAGTGCTAATTAAAAAAAAAAAAAACCCTTGATTAATTATTGGGGTTGTGGCTTAGTCAATAAGATTGCCAGTCTTGGATTCATTGTGTTGTATAAAATTTGTTAGAATTTTTTTTTCTATAAATCTTCAAATAATTATGTTATTATTCTTTGTATATCAGGTCATATTCTTGGTACATTGAAAAATCTTTTGCATTTCGAAGGTACACGTGACTTTAAATTTGATAATCATGTGAAGCTTTATAAGATTTGCTTGATGTATCACATTTTAGGACAATAACCTATGTGGGAGACATCTATGCTTCTTGCATTAAGGGCACGTTTAGTGGAACGGACATGATTGGATTTTGGACTGGTTAGACTAGGATTATGTTGGATAAGTTGGGTGTCTAATGTTTGGCGTAGACTTCTCAATAGGATTAGATTTGGGTTGAAAATTAACTTGGTGAAACAGGAGGAAGGCACGACCTAACCACTTACCAACACCCACAACAGTCGTTCTCGACCCTCCTGACAACGTTATTCACGAACCTCCCACGACACTGCTCGCGATGGACCTGACAACACCTATGTTCGCGACGCCCTGAGATCGACTACTGCTCCCAACAACCTGAGACTAACGACTGCTCATGACAACACGCTCACCCGCAATGCTATTCGCGACAACCCCCAGACCGACGGTCGCGATGATTCAACGACGCCAAATCAAACCATTCGATGACGCCAAGATCCATCGACCTGACAACGGCGCTCGCGTTGTATATATTTGAGGGAAACATAATTGAAGCTTCCATGATTTTATATTTGAAACCGATATTTTCACCAATATCTATACATTTATCGACATTTCTCAAAAACTTAGACTACCAATATATCTATCAAACTGAATAACGAAAACTTTAGAATGTCAATAGCTTTCTGTTTCCCTTCTAGTCAGTTTCTGCTTATTAAGATTTTATGTCAAATGAAAAAACACAGTACCATTAATAAATAAATGGATCAAATCAGTACCAAATCATCAACTTTACTGAACCCAAAAGTGAATTGGATAATCACAAACAAGATCTGATCTATTCGGTCTCCTCAAGTCTCCCATCAATTAGACAAGTACTACAATTGACTGAATAAATTGACATGAATATGATATAACAATATTTTAAAGAACACAAGCTGAAATAAACTAAACCTTACATCTAGCTTCGACACGAATAAATGATTTTAAGCACACTATAAATTCATTTGGCGATTTACAAGAAGCTAAAAGAGTGGCTAGAAGGTGCATTTTTTGACAATCTCTAATATGAATCTCATATTCACTTCGGCATTTTCCAACCCTGGGCTAAATGTCAAAACTCCACTTCTATTCCCACCCTCACCCAAAAAAAACCCACCCAACCCAAGTTGAAAATCTAGGCTAAAACCTAAAACTCAAATGGAAGCCAAATACCGGCTACAAATTAGCCCAAAAGCACTGATGGAGCCCACTGTTAGGGCAGCTGTCGACCACCATCATGAGCCCAACGACTCTGTGTAATCGGACGGTTGGATTCTTTGGACTGTTGGTTGATCCAACGGTCCAAAATCAATTTTTTAATAAAAATATAAATTTAAAATACATTGAATCCAACGGCTTAAATCAAATATAATCAAATCTAATGGTCCAAATTTAAATCCAACGGCTAATATAATTAAAAAAATTATTTAACTCAAAATTCACCCAAACACTTTATAAATACCTATGTATTTGTTCAAACATCCACATAAAACTCACTTTTCTCCTACAATTCTTCCAATTTTTCTTTCTACCATTTCTTCTCATTTTCAAAATTTTCAAGATGGCAAAAGAGCATATTAGAGGTCGTAATTGGACCCTTGAGGAAGATATTGCTTTATGTTTAGCATGGGTTTCTATTAGCGAAGATAGTGCCGACACGAATCAAAATAAAAAGGTTTTGTCGGGTAAAATCATTGATAAGTTCCATGAAAACTCCAACACTGCCCGAAGGGAAGGTGGTGGTGTTTATGATCAGTAGAATGTTATCAACAAAGCGTGCACTTTGTGGAAGGGAAGCTTGGAGAGAGCTATGGTTGACATGGCTAGTGGAAAGAGCGCCTAAAAAATTGTGAGTTTCTTTGTTGATATTTTATTTGTCATGTACATAATAGTATTTTTCAACTAATTGTTTTTATGTATTTGTTGCATAGGGTGACAAAGCAATAGCAATTTACAAGACAAGAACTGCACCAAAAGTTCAAGCTTTTAAGTTTCATCATGTTGGAACGTCCTCAAAGATTGTCCGAGGTGGGGAACCGATGCGGACCAACAATGGGGAAAATTATTTCATAGTGAAGTCCCAACCCCAATGATGTCAATGAAGGTGTCGAACAAATGACCTCAATTTCTTCTTTTGCAAGGCCACCGGGAAGAGATAAGCAAAAGGAAACAAAGAGAAAAGGGAAGTCCCAAGATCCCATTAGTGAACAAATTGCTACCAGATTTGCAAGATTGACTGAAAGCCATAGCTGAGGAAGCGGCCCGAATGCGTATGGCTATGACGCAACAAGGGGATATGGAGCAAGAGAGGTTTGAAATTAATTTCATGATGGAGGACCTCAACAAATATACTCCAGAGAGGAAGAAGTACTTACGTGGTAAGTAAAAGGAAATTTTGTAAAGGTCTGCCATAAGGAGAATATTTGAAGATGATGATTCATCTCAAGGCTATATCCCAAGTCCGCCACCAAGTCAAGATGGTGGATATCATCATTAAGTTTATGTATTTTATGAATTTTCGATTGTATTAAGTTTATGTGGTTTATTAATTGTCCCTTTTTTTAAGTTTATGTGGTTTATTAATTGTCCTTTGTATTACGTGTATGTGGTTTATTAAATGTTGTTTGTATTAAGTTTATGACTTATTAATTATTGTTTCTATTAATCTAGATGTCTTCAATAATTATTGTACTTATTGTTGCACATTTTGATATACAATAGATACCTTCAATAATTCAAACAGCCTTCAATAATTTTGACAACGTACTAGTGAAGAGACTTGTCACACGAAGACAATTCAATTTATTACTAGAAAATACCAACATAGTGCATGCAAAATTATTACATAACATAACACATTAATACACTCAAGATTATCCATCATCAACGTTCTCCTTCTCGAAGTCATACATGTTCAACCAAATCTTTGCAGAGTGTATCTTGACCTTGAGGAGCTTGAATTCTATTTAAATGTCTCATATATGAGTGTACTTCACCGTGTTAAACGAAAGAGAGAAGGGTTTGTTTTCTCTAGTACTTCACTGGAGCATGTTAAATGAAAAAGAGAAAGGGGGAGGACCATAGTCTTCAACTACTGTATGTATAGGCAAAGAGAAAAAAAAACCAAACCATACGAAAGGAAGGAAGATAAAATTTCAGTTTCAGCTAGGAAATGGATGTAGATTTTGCCTAATTTTTGTTTTCCCAACTGATGCTCTAATGCCTTGACTCCTCACCGAAAACCTCGAGGTTGCAAACTGGGCATACCTAAACAAATATGGAAACGGAAATGAGCGTGAGTTAGCGGGATGGATCATCAAATTGAAGAAAGAAAATAGTGGTATTCTGAATTCTGAAATCCATAATTTTAAGGCGTTGGCCTACCTTGTTGATACCGAGCCATTTGCTGATGCATTCGTTATGGTAGACATGCTTGCATGGCAATGTGATTTGTCGATCTCCTCTTTTATACCGCATCTGGCAAATCACACACCTGCTCGTGGAAAAATCGTATCAAGGGAGAATTCAAGAAGGTTAAAAGAAAAAGGAGGCTTCTTCTTCTTTTTCTTTTTTTGGTCAAGGAGAATCCTCCGTCAAGTTTTCCGGAAACAAATAAAAGAATGGGAAAAGAAGTGTTCTTTTGATAACTTCTGCAACGCAAACCAACTGAACAAATCATCATTAAATAAAGGAGACTAATTAGGGTGCGCCACGAACTTGCCCATTTTATCAGAGCCATTATATGCTAATATTTTAATTTTTTTTTTTTGGGGAAAACAGTGTTAAGACAGTAACTAAAATCAAAAGCATCACCATATATTTTACATTTTTAAAGGATTAGGGTTCATCTTAGAGGTTTCTAAGACAACTCTTCTCGAGACATTTTCGGTCGCTATATAAAGAGGTTTATGTCTCAACTCTTAAGTGCCTTGTAGATGATGATAGAGTTCGAGCAGGGAAAATTTCTCTTCTGGTAGGTTAAGAGTTTGCGACAAGATTACTTGCATTAGTATGGTAGATTTTTCTCATTAGGACTGCTACCATATTTAGCATTATACCAGACAGATATCCAGATTGTCTAGAGAGCTAAAAATGAGAAGATAGGCCATCACATTTGCTTCTGAGATAAGGAAATTAATGATAAGGTCGGAAAATAGGTTTATTGTTTTTGGCAGATAAATTCACATTACTCAACTGTCCATGAGTCAGAATGTTACCTCTCTCCTGATTTTTTTCTTAAGAAGAAGTTTCCACACTTGTATTTTGACGATGGAAGCAAACTAATAAGTTCGTTGGAAAGACCTCGGCTTTGAGTGCCAACTGCCTCACCCAAGTCAAGTAATTCCTGGTGCCAATATATAAAACAAAACATTTCAATAACATTCATGAAAAGTTTGGAAATCCTAATATAGTTTGTACTGGACGTGTCAACCCAATGTAAATAACAAAACAATGAAAAGCCAAGACACAAGATCAGTGAAACCGCTTGCCTTAAGTATCCCCAATCTATACTGCAAAAATGGCTAATATGCAATATGTCTCGTACTCTTAATTTGGGCTGGGTATAAACAAGTTAGTCCAATATTGAAGTAATTCTCTATGCTATATATCACAATGTGATATAATAGTTTCTGAAGCCTCAAAGTACCTACATCGTTGGCCTTCAAAGTCTAAAGAATCATGAAAAGTTTCATGCATTACTAACTTCAAAGAGACAGACGAACAAAGGTATGTGTGGGACGTGCAACTGCCCAGGTTTGTGTTTGTGCTTAATAAGTCCCTTGTGGAACAAAATGGTAAAGAAATAAGGTATACATAACGAACCTCGTAGGTCATGTTATCAGGATCAATGTCCTCTTGCCATGCAACCTGCAGATATACAAAGACCAAAAGGCTGAACTTTAGCATAACTTCAGTGTAGGAGTTCAAGTTCGAAATAATTATGTGCATTGAATAAAATTCGTAGACTTAATAGTGCACAGTAAATGCATCTAAACTAACCAAAATAATCCAGCAGAAGGAAAAACATGCAATTGCACAAACCACAAAACAGGATCCATACCTCAGAAGAACTTGTATTTTGCTGATACTGAATACCTGAAAAAGCAAAAAGAAATTCTTTATGGTTAGAGATAGTGTTCAACAGATTGGTTGAATTTCATTTCACAAAACATGAGTGAAGTATAAGCTTTGACAAAAATTCAAATCACATTATGGCATTATATGTTAGATTGTATGATTTTGTACTGTGATTCAAATGGATCTAATAAAGATTTCTGAAAGAAGGATTGAATAATTTCAGAGAGCTCTCCGGTGATGGTTTCATCGAATTACTCTCTCTTCTTCTTACATGGCAAAACGAATATTACTGTTGCACCTAGGAGGTAATATTACCATTCTCTCTCCTCTAATAGAATGAAAACAATCTCAGCTATTCATGTTATCTATCCTATGAGATAGCTACATGTGTCACTCAACACCACTTACTCTAACTTAATCTAGAGCATCCATTTGGAATGTAATCCAAGGGCTCTGATTAAAAACAAGTAAATTGAATAAACTTATTTCAGATAAATCACTTAAATGCTAACACTCCCTTCTAAGTGTTTAGCTGAAATCATTCCCAAAGCTTTCCTCAAGTACTCAAATCGATCCCTTGGCAAGGCTTTTGTAAATATATCAGCAATTTGATCCTCAGTTCTGCAATAGATCAGATCAACTTCACCATTCTGCAGTGCATCTCTGATGAAATGGAACCTTCTGTTTATGTGCCTTGTCTTATGGTGTGCTACCTGGATTACTCCACTTGTTCCTCTCCAAAATCTAAGAGAACAAACCTTAACCAGATGGCTTGAGCAGTTGCTTCTGCAGCACTAGCATACTCAGCTATCTGCAGTGGACAGTGCTACATTGTTTTGTTTGATTAAAGCCCAAGAAAATGCTCCAGAACCAAAACTAAAAGCATATCCAGAAGTGCTTTTCATGTCATCCTCACTCCCTGCCCAGTCACTATCACAATAGCCAATAAGGACAGCATCTTTGCCTTTTTCATATGCAATTCGATAGTCTAGAGTTCCTTGGATATATCTCAGCACTCTCTTTGCAGTTCCTATGTGTTTTCTAGTTGAGTTGTGCATGAATCGAGCTAGCAATCTTGCAGCAAACATGATATCAAGTAGCTGTTAGGTATAACAAGCTACCAACCATTTGCCTATAAAGACTTTCATCAGCCATTTCACTCCCATCTTCTTTGCTAAGTTTTTCATTTGCTGCAAGTGGAGTTGCAACAGGTTTGCAATCCTTTAATCCGAACTTCTCCAATAAGGTCCTTGCATATTTCTTTTGATGCAGAAAAATGCATCCTTCTGTTTGTATCACTCTAAGCCCTAAGAAATGATGCAATAAACCAAGATTGGACATTTCACATTTTCTCATCATCTCTGTTTTAAAATCATCCATCAATGCACTTGAACTTCCAATATATATAATGTCATCCACATACAAGGATACAATGAGAATTCATGCCTCAATTGCCTTGATACAGAGTTGCCTCACTTGGACTCCTATGAAAACCAAAATTGCAGAAATAAAAGTCAATCTCTTTGTACCAGGCCCTTGGTGCTTGTTTTAAGCCATACAAGGCCTTCTTGAGCTTGTAAACCTTGTCCTCCTTGCCTTCAATTACAAAACCAAGTGGCTGGTCTACATATACTTCTTCATTAAGAACCCCATTCAAGCATGCAGATTTCACATCAAGTTCGAACAACTTCCATCTTTCTGTGCAATAAGCCCAATTAGAGTCCTAATAGTGTCAAGCCTTACCACAGGGGCAAATGTCTCATTAAAATCGACCCCAGGCTTTTGAGAGTATCCATTGGCAACTAACCTTGCCTTATTATTCTGTATAGACCCATCTAGGTTCAATTTTGTTTTGTAGATCCACTTGACACCAACTACTGGTTTATCAAATGGTTTATCAACAAGTTCCCAAGTGCAATTCTTCTCTATCATGCCAATTTCTGCCTCCATTGCCTTATGCTATGACTCATCTTGTGCTGCCTCCTCAAAGTTCTTAGACTCAACAATGCACAAGTTGCATTTTGCATATACTTCTGTCAAGCTTTTGAACTTCAAATGAGTGTGATCATAGTCTTGGGGACCTGTGTTATTCTGCATTGAAACCAATCTTGAGCCATTTTCAATTGACTCACAAGCTTCAGATGTTGACTCATCATTTACATTATGTTTGTCACTTAAACTCCATTCTTCCCTTTGTTCACACATTTCTACTTCAGGCATTGGTATACTGATGGTCTTCTTAAATTGAGATTTCCAATCCCAGTAAGTATTTTCATCAACTATCATATCCCTTGACACAATTATCTTTTTTGACACAAGGTCATAAAGTTTATAACCTTTCTCACATGTGTCATATCCCAAGAAAATACATTTAGTACTGTTTTCATCAAGCTGTTGTCTAAGTTGACTTGGAATGTGAGCATAACATATAGAACCAAAGATCTTCAAGTGTTTGATTCCTAGCTTCCTCCCACTATATGCCTCAAAGGAGGTCTTCTTATCAAGAGACTTAGTGGGACATCTATTTAAGATGTACACTGTTGTGTTGATAGCTTCTGTCCAGAAATCAAATGGAACACCCTTCTCAACCATCATACACTTTGCCATTTCCACTATGGTTTTATTCTTCCTCTCAGCCACATCATTCTGCTGTGGTGTGTAGGCCACTGTTAACTATCTTTCCATGCGCATTTCTTCATAAAACTGTCTGAATTCAACAGATGTATACTCCTCTCCTCTATCACTTCTCAACTTCTTCAATTTGTAACCACTTTGTAATTCAATTGTGGCCTTGAATTTCTTGAATATGCTAAACAACTCAGACTTGTTTCTCAAGAAATAGATCCAACACATTCGAGTGTAATCATCTATAAAGGTAAGAAAATACCTATTCCCAGCCTTAGTAGTGATTTGCATAGTCCCACAGATATCTGAGTGAATAAGTTCTAGAGGAAGAGAAGCCCTCCATAATACTTCTTTGGAAATGTATCTCTGCAATGCTTCCCAAAGGCACACCCTGCACATATCTTATCTACTAACTTGAGTTTAGGCATTCCCAATACCATATCTTGGTCTTTGAGTTGCCTCAGACTACCTATATTCAAATGCCCTAGCCTCTTATGCAAAATTGCAGAAGACTAACGTACAGTAACTTTTAGGGAAATTTGCATCTCAGGTTTAAGTTTCAAGGGAAAACTCTTGTTCCCTTTCATTGGCATTTTGCCTACCAAATTTGACATAGAGCTATCATCATATATTGCAGCAGTTGTAGCACCAAAGACTAGAAAGTAACCATGTTCCATCATTTGCCTTACACTGAGCAAGTTTTCTTTTGAACGTGGAACGAACATCACTTCCTTGATATATCTTCTCCCCATTTTGGTTTCAACTACCAAATTTCCCTTGCCAATAACTTCAATAAGCTGACTAGTGCCCATTTTAACCTTAGCAGTCATTGTTCTATCAATGTCAACCAACAAATCCTTCATTCCAGTCATATGGTTGCTACATCCACTGTCTACATACCATGTGTCTTCACATTTCTTCACCATGGCATTATTGCAAACATAAAACACATTGTAGGAGTGTCATTGACTTGATTAACAAAGTTTACATGTTAGTTAGCCTTCTTCTTCTTCCCACTGCAATCTTTTGCAATATGCCCCAACTTATGGCAATTATGGCACCTAGGCTTATCCTTGAACCAACATTCACCAAAATGCAGCTTATCACAGTGTATACAAGGATTATTAGCTCATTCAAAGGTACCTGCAGCTTTTCCAGCTTGATTTGCAAGTTTATTATCCCATTTCTTCCACTTTGACTTCCAATTCTTCTGTGGTTTGAACCCTTGATTCCCATTGTACTTATTTTGTTTTAAAGTCAATTTTAAGACTAACAAATGCCTTCTCAGTGTGAATCTCATCATGCCTATCAATTCTTTGTTCATACCCCTTTAGAATAACACAACATCTTGATTATCAACAGTGTCTAAATCCCTAGTATTTTCAATCACAGAAGCAATACTATCATACGATCTAGGTAAGCTTATCAGCAACTTTTGAACAACTCTTTGATTGCTAATATCTTCACCATAACTCCTCATTTGACTAAGTAAATCAAATAGCCTAACTAGATATGTAGAGAAAGCTTTATTTTCACCCACTTCTAGTATATTCAAAATCACGGTGTAAGCCTTGGAGTTTCACAGCTCTTAGTTGTTTATCTCTCACAAATTCTTGCTTCAGGACATTCTAAGCTACGTGTAGTCTCTTGAATGGCGATTCTCGGAAAGATCTGATCGGAAACCGCCCCTTGGATGATTCCAAGTGCCTTTACATCTTTGACAATGTTCTCCCTCACCAACTTGTTCTCAGCTTCAGTGAGTTCTTCATCCTTCTTCACTGGAGTAGCAAAACCCTTTTCGCCAACATCCTAGAGTTCATGAGATCGAAATATGGTCTTCATCCGAATCTGCCAGAAATCGAAGTTGTCTTCATTGAATACCAGTGCTCGAAGATCAGCACCACTTGACCCAGCCATATGAGACTCGATTTGATATCACTGAGATTTCTTCTCTGAATTTTCCTTCAGCAACAAAGCTCGACAATCAATTCGAGTTCTTCGCTGCACTCTTCATAGATTCACGCCCAGTTGCAGATGATGCAACTTGGCTCTGATACCATGCTAGATTGTGAGATTTTGTACTATGATTCAAATGGATCTAAGAAAGATATCTAGAAGAAGGATTGAATAATTTCAGAGAGCTCTCCAGTGATGGAAGCCTCACATAAATTTCATTGAATTACTCTCTCTCCCTTTTACATAGCAAAACGAATATTACCGTTGCACCAAGGAGGGAATATTACCCTTCTCTCTCCTCTAACAGAATGAAAACAATCTCAGCCATTCATGTCATCTATCCTATGAGATAGTTACATGTGTCACTCAACACCACTTACTCTAACTTAATCTAGAGCATCCATTTGGAATGTAATCCAAGGGCTCTGATTAAAAACAAGTAAATTGAATAAACTTATTTCAGCTAAAATCACTTAAATACTAACATTATAGCACCATCAGAAATCAACTGCAACAAAATGGTATTGTGGGTTTTAAAACCTAATGAAAATACGAAATGTCAAGAAAAAATGGTCTTTGATAACTCCAACTGGCCAGTAACATAATATTTGTTCACCGGATAAGTGACTGGTCACACAGAAAACTGAATTGAACTAAAATTTAATTTCAAATTCCAAGGACAAGGAGCAAAGCATGACAAAGTGTGATCAATTAAAAACAATTTTCAGTATAAGAATACAAATAAGCAGAAGTTTCTGACTAACATTCTTCAGGTGTAGCTTGCGCTTCCATGACAGAATCTTCTTCTGGCTGTGAGTCGGTGTTTGCAGGCTTTTCTGCATTCATCACTGAAGGGTATTCCCAAGTCCTCCTGCTGACGTCCATTCTTGGTAAATGATCATTTACCTCGTAAGTACTGTAATAAGAAGTACTCTCCGGACCAGATGGTAAAAACTTGTACGAACTCATGTTCATTGACCAGTATGCACTTTCCTGGACACACAGCATGTAAAGATTAGCATTTCTGCAAATACTAAAATTTCAATTCATGAAAATAATACAGTATTTCACTCAGTAAAAATGGTAACCATAGCTTCTGAATATTTGTAATGAAAACTCAAAGTTGACACTCAGAAGGGGCAATAATACATTTCAGCTTCCCCAGCTCATTCCGATATCTCATGGATTCCAGACAAAAGATTAAAGCAAATGCATCTGAACAAACACCAGCTTTCCAAATTTACAAGCAAGATGGATCTAGAACAATCTTATGAGGCGGCGAACAACATGTCATCACAGAATAACTTTCACAAGAAAATAACACATAAAAAATGGAAAAAGCAAACATGCCTGATCATGCATCAGCATGGCGTGACCATAATTCATCGGTACATGAGAAAGACCGTCAAAGAAACCCATGAAGCCTTCGGTAGGTGTGTAAGAAAAGCCGGTGTCTAGGTATTGTCCATTCTCATTCATTTTTGCACCAATTATCAAACCGAGATTCACATAAACTAGCTACAAAACGGAACCGAATCTTTCAGTACTTATGCTGAAAAATGGAAAGAAAAAAAAAAAACAAAAAACTTTCACATAAATTCATCTTTGCGTATATATTTATATGTACATTGTAGCACTATCCTCATAGACAGAGAACTTTCACTATAAATTCAAAAGAAAATTTTACTTTAATAATTTGTGACAAATTACAACATATGTTCTTAAAATTTGCAAAATTTAGGGCAAAACGTGGACATGGACATGGACATTCTCAGAAATGGTGAGGCAGAATATAAAGCAAAATTTAGGGCAAAACATGGACATGGACATTCTCAGATTCATTTTGTTTTCTTTGCCTTCCGCTTTGATTCTCTCGGTAGCCAAACGCATGACAAGATTGTGTAAAGAAGCAGAAGCGGTACCTTACTTTTAAGCCAAAACTCCCTTCACATTTTGCTGTGAAGCAAAAATCGCCAGCTCGGAGGATAAGTAAGAGAAACTGTAGTCTTCTTTCTTTCTAAGTTCAAATTTTCTTCCCCTTAATTTCTTGAGAAAATTTGCTTCAACTCAGAGAGAGATATTTGAGTTTGCACTTTACACACACACACACATACATATATATATATATATATATATATACACAGAGAGGGAGAGAGAGAGAGAGAGTACTGTCTCTGATACTGAGAGGAGAGGAGAGAGAGAGGCTTTCTCTGTTGTGTTTGAGTTTCTCTCTAGACTTGTATTGTGTTATCCCTTGAGTTTCTCTCTAGAGTTGTATTGTGTTATCCTTTTTTTTTGTGTGCCGCGTTTGGCTTTTGTGCAGAGGAGCAGCTAAATTTGATATTTTCACGGACACGCTTCCCTTCTGAGTTCTGTGTTTTGTTTTGTTGTCTCTGGCTAGCTCTACCACGCCAACCTGTTATTAAACAAGATTACAAAGGGAATTGTTATTGGCATTCCAAAAATCTCATTCTACACTTCAAATTTGCTATATTTAGAGAGAAAAATACACTGGTGAGGAGTGTTGAATGAGATTTTTGAAGTGCCAATAACACTTCCCTTACAACAATCCTCCTAAATCCTATTTGCTAGCGCTGTCTCTACAGTCTACTCTATGCTACACCATTTCACTTTATGTAATTAATACTTGTATTTATATAGGACGGCCTATGGACTACTTTCTCTATATACCGGGGTACATAATATGCAATGTTTTTATAAACAATTACGTTGAAAAATGTTTGGAATAAAGTTGATAAATCTAGCAGTTCACTAAAACGGTGTATCACAACATCATGCATTGTGGAGCTTTTAATCCATGATTATGATGTTTATCATAGTTTGATGTGATTACGGAGAACGAGATATTTATATTTTGCTAAGTTGTGTTTTTAATTTGACTAATTTTATTACGTGTTTCAATTCTTTAATCATTTCTGTTCAATTGCATATATCTGAACAACGAGCGGTCTATGTGCGAACATTATCTTCAATTAAGCGTAAACAATCGAAATTGTTTTGGTATTAAAACACAATGACTAAATTGACATGTTTATTTATAACACATGAACTAAAATTGAAGTTAAAAAAAAAAAAAAACAAACAAAAATTAGAACCCTCTTTCACTTTTGCATCTTTATAAAATTAAAAAAAATTGAACTAAAAAGCTCTCCTCAGCCTTTAGTGATTCGAAACAGTCGTTACTTGTGGACAAATTTGATAGTCTCAGGCCATCTTCAACCGAAAAGTCCAAAGGACCAGAGGGCCGAAAATAGCCCAAAAACCATCTCCAGCCGAGGGCTAGGCCAGAGGGCTGTGGAATCTGAGAGGGCCCCATGGAATCGGAGAGGGCTAAAGGGTTGGAGCCAGCCCGAGGCTGGCCAGAAAATAGAGCATTCCTGTCGGTTATAACCGACAGGAATATATTTATATTAAAAATTAAATATATTCCTATCGGTTATAACTGACAGGATTGCTTAACAAAAAAATTTGAATACAACGGCTAGTAAGCTAGCCGTTGTATTCAATTTTTTTGTTTTTTTTGTTTTTTTTTAGGTTTTTGGGCTTATTTATTTATTTTTTTTAATTCTTAAAAATTCTAATTTTTTCCTATAAATACCTAAACCATTCATTAAAGTTAAGTTCTAATTTTTTTGGTTTTTTTGGCCAGTTATCGTTGTAATTTTTAAATTTAAGTTGTAGTTTTTAAATTTAAATAATAAATTATGTTTTGCCCTTTGACCCTCGGTTGGAAACGATTTTTTGTGACAGGACTAAAACGAGCCCTATGACCCTTTAGCCCTCGGTTGAAGACGGAGGCAAATATGGTCATGTACTATTCATTAAAATATTAATATCTTGGAGAATCTTGGAGGGCCAGAGGGCTAAAATGAGCCCTCTGGCCAGCCATCGGTTGGAAATGGCCTCAAAGTTTATACTTTAGATTGGGCTGCTGGATCCTTTTTCTAGGAGTTTTAGAGATTCCGTAATTGTGATCGTTCATCGTACATCGTGCAGTAAGTTTTCGTTGGATACTATTCATATTTAATTTTAAAATTTGAAATTATTTCTGACTGCACAATGTACGATGAACGATCACGATTACAAGATCCCTATGATTCTCAAGAAAAGGATCCGACGAGGATTCTTTTCCTAAGATTGGAAGGAGGTAAAGAAAATTAGGAAAGAAGAAAGTTTTTAGGGATGGTTGGCATTGAGTGATTGACCAAGGCTTGGCAGAGGGAGGGGTAAAAGCCGTTTTTACCGCCGGTGAGATCTGGTGGTGGGGGGCCGCGGCACCTACCGAAGATCCGTCTCTTTCTTCAATTGAATCTTTGCCGTACATCTCAGTTCAGAACAGCGCTTGAAACAAATCTTGAAGGTTCCTGATCCCTACAATATGTTCAACTAAAAGAAAAAAGTTGTTCGGTCCCTGTTCCCCAAAAAAGTGCAACAAGATAAGGTTAATTAATGTGAAAAATATCTCCTTCCATACAACACTATATAAACAAATAGTCAGTTACCACATTGGTAGGAATATTTTGAGTTTTTGTATAATGACGTGAGCTTGAACTTCATCGGTGACTAATCTAACATCTAATTTAATTACTCTCGTTTTTTTTTAGTGTAATTGGGAGCAACTTATGTCATAATGAGTTCACTATCATTTGACATTTCAATTTATTAATAATCAGTCAATAGTCTTTCAGTCCAATAATGCATTCTCATACGAAGAAAAACTTTGCATTATTGGGACTAAGACCCTATATGGCGGCAAATTTGTTATATGTTGTTGAATAAAGTAAAAAGTATCACATCGGCTTTTTACAAAACAAATTACAACTTATATAATATAGCTTTATTTCTAATTACATCGAGATCTTTTGCATAAGTGAGAACAGTATCAATGCAATTAGTGCTGGACTGATATCCGTATCGCTTATCATGGTGTGAGTTGGTTGGGGTACCAATTTTATCCTATGGCGATGAATCTATTTCGAGTCGTTGGTATTAAGGCATAAGATTGTTTGGATTGTAAAACTTTTATTATATCACTCTATAGTTTTAGAGTGTCATGGCGTTTTTCTTTGAAATGTGAGTGTGAAAAGCCCAAATTTCAAGGCTCCCTAGAGCAAGAAACATATAGTATAAATTTTCACCAACAAATGTGACACAATTTGATTACTATAAATGAATAAAACATGCATCAAATTCCACTTCATTGATTTCTAAGTTCGAAATTGTGATGATTTTAAATAATAAATAGGTAATGTCTTTGGGATGAGCAACTTAAATAGAAAGGATTTGTTGTCACGTAGAGTCTCGATTCAACAAGACATTGTCATGTAGAGGCATATGACAATGCATTATTACAAGGATGCTAAGCGTGATGGTAAACCTATTTCATGTAAGTCTTCTTCCATTGGGAAATTATCTACTTTGCTAATTTGAATAAAGTCTAGAGAATCCATAAGTCGTATGTTCATTAATAAAAGTGAGAAGCTTTGAGTTCGATTCTCATTAAAAGGTATTTGAACCAGATTTATACGATTAGTCCATTATGTGATTTAACTTCATCTTTTATTTCTTAGTGTAAATAATATCATTGTATTAAAAAACCATAAGTCAACTTTTCACTTTTGAATGATGCCTTAAGTAGTCATTACAAACTTTATTATGTATTTAATTTTGTCTAAGTCATTCGTTTATTGGTTTCTTTAAAAGGCAAAGGTATGGCTGAGTATATATATGGGTCCATTGAAAGCTTTGTTTCCACGCAATACAAAATAATATAATAGCATTTTGATTGAACCATTGGCAAGGGTTATTGTTCTAGCACACATATAAAAAGGGAGCATTTTTACTTACCACCATTTAGTGTGGTGTATGCTCACTACCCTATTTATCACTGTTAAATGAGTTTGAATTTGGAGATTCGTGTAGTGGATAAGCACAAATCTCAAAATTCAAACTCATCTAACGGTAATAAATAGAATGGTGAGTATACACCACACTAAATGGTGGTGAGCAAAAATGCACTCTAAAAAATGGGGCAAAATATTTTAACTTGAATAAGTCAATACTTCAACTAATGAAAGAATCTTGTGCAAAACCACAATAGAACAACTATAAGAGCAAGTCCACCCCTACCTAATTATTTTGACAATCGAGCAATTGAATTCCCCAAAAGCCCAATAATCTTATCCACTCCAGCCTAATCAGTCAGGCCACAGGTGGCCTTAAGACCACTGAACTGAGGAGTCATCCATGAATAGCCCGACCTTGTGCCTGAGGTCATGTGACATCAGGACGACGTCATCCTGTTGTCACTTACATTATAAGTTTTTTGCACCAAGCACGTGCACTTCATGCGAGTGTGAGACGAGTGCTTAGACAAAATGTAGGCGGTGGGGCCTGTGCTGTGAAATCCCATTCCTGAATTTCACTATTATAATCTACGTATTTGTATCATTGAGATTTTATATTATTTTTCAGGAATTTATATTAATTTATTTGAATTTGGGTTTTAATTAAACTAGTTATGAGGGTAGAAGTTTCGAAATTAATTATTTAAATTCCGTAGACCTTTTAAGGTCATAATTTATATTTTCGAATACAGCTCGATCTCACGAACGCATAGACAAAAACCGTACATGAAATGGAGTTATAATGAAGAAATTAGAGACGTTTTAGTTGTTCGAAATAAATGTTTAGAAGCTGCCAAGTGGTAGCAAGGGAGAGGGGAGAAAGGAGAGAGTGCGGGAGAGAAAAGGAGAGGAGCAGAACAATCAGAGGAAAGAGCAAGGAGAGGAAAGGAGAGAGACCCGAGTTGGGTCATTTTGGACCCGCGAATGATCATTTTTGACCCGACCATATCTCCTTCATCAGACTTCCGTTTTTGGTGATCTTGGTGTCCATGGAAAGCTCTTGATGAGTCCTACATCCCTGTAGTGTTAGATTTCCATTTTTCTTTTCCATTTTCTAGGTCGAAGCCACAAAGTGCCGAGGGTTTTCCGGCGAGTTTTCTCATGTTACGGTGATTTCGACAATGATTACCATCGATCACCATCACTAATAGACTCCCTTCAACCCCTGGAGCAAGGCCTAAGCATTAGATGAGGCGTCGGAGTTCGTTTTGGCGATGAATCGAGAAACACCCATTTCTAGGTCTTCCGGCGGGTTAGAGGGCAATTGGAGCTTTTCCAGGCCAAATTGGACTTGGCCACAGGTATGAAACTTGCTCCACTCACTGAGATACATTTTCCTATAAAATTTTTTAATTTTTTAAAATAGTTGAATTT